TTTGAATGATGCATGTGTCTTTGTGTGTGGACATCCTAGTTGTATTGCGTGTCGTACGGTGTTACATATGTAGGGAACGAACGTCTCGTCTGTTTGTCATATAGAGCGGTTTAGTGGCAGCTTTTTTTTCTTAACCCTCCTGCAACTCCTCTAGACCTGTCTGTCAACTATCTGAGATAGGAGATTTTACTCTGTATTGAAAGTTTTTTTCGAAACTAAAACCTAGATACGCGGTGCCTAGGAAGGATATGAACTCCATTACAAAGTTTCAATGCGGGGAAAAATCCTCCTATTTACCTCTCCCTCCCACTATTATCTCCAAACCAATTGTGAAATTTCGTGTATAACGTGGTGTTTTTGCCATACACTCATATGCGTTACGTGTTCAAATAGAAAGAAATCACCAAAAACATATTAGATTGTTGAATTAGGTAGCTGATTAAAGCACTTCCCTTCACGATGTTTACACGTTCACTCAATCCACTTTCCTTGCAATTTCCTTCCAATTGTACTTCGCGAATCGGTAGTACATTAACCAAAAAAAAAAAAAACCCCCCCAAAATCGGAAAGCACGTTTTAGAAGAATCAAAGAAATAAATCTTAACCAATTAAAAGGTAAGCACAAAACTCTAAAGAAGACTCAAAACGATAATGGATTGGCTAGTACAAAGGAAAAGATGACTTTGTACTACTTGATTATATTAATTGAGAGTTGTAGTGTAACAAAACAAAAATACACCCTAATAATGTAATAGGAGGCCAAAGAAAGCTCAAAAAATAAGAATAAACAAACTAAGTATTTAAAAGACAAATTCTGGGATATAATGTATGAATTTTTAGTCACTACAAGGCAAACAAATATGGACCTAATTTACTTCTACCCAAACAACTGGCAAGCATAACAAAGAAAACCAAAAAAAAAAAAATTTTTTTTAAAGAGGGGTTAACTGTAGCACGGATGCTGGCTTTCTGATTCCGTGTAGCAAGCTTACCTGTGGAGCTGAGCGTGCTTGACTTGTACCTCACTTAACCCACAATGGTGACCCCAATTTAGGTAGGGTAAGGCCTTAACAAGGTATAAGCTGGATGGTTGCGGTCTCCCATTTCAATTTTAGGGTAGGTAATGACTTAATTATATAGTTGTCCAACAGATGACTTTTGTGTTTTCTCCAAGATAAGATCCCAAATCAAGTTCAAAATTATGATATCCTTCAATTGAATGTTAAGGTTATAGACTATCAATAAATTCCCAAATCAAGTCAAAATGCTCTTTATGTTTGTTTTTCCAGCAATTGTCGTTTCAATTTCAATCTAGGTAGATATTGACTTAGATGTAAGATTGTTTTCCAACAATTTTGTTCTTACCAATTCAACTTTAAGTAGGGGTAATGACGCTTAAACAATTTCTACTTATCTTTTCTTTGAATAATGACCTTTTTTTTCTTGTGTTGTAAGAAATCTAATAATAAGATTCTTAAGCCTTGACAAATGGTTCTGGACTTTTTTTTTTTTTTCAAGAAACAAGCAAAACGAACAAGAATAATCAAAGATAGATCTTGAATTAGTCAAAAGTGGGTAACTAGAAAAATGATTTTTGCAAACAATAGAAGATACAAAGACGAAAAAGAGAGGAAAATAGATTACAAGAAGATTTAAAGAGAAAATTATCTTAAATCCAACAAGATCTAAAGAGGAAATTTGTCGTAGATCAACAAGATCTAAAGAGAGATAATTGGTCTAGAGTCCAACAAGATCTAAAGAGATTAATGTGGAGATTCTCAGAATGAAAAGAAAACACGGAAGATTAAACAACAATGGAATCAACAACAGAACTCAAATCCTAATAAAGATAACAGAACTTACCCCAAAACTTTTGATTTTGGCTCTGATACCAAATGATACGGATCAAATCAAAGAAATTTTGAGATATAAAGTTCGCCTCTTTATGGCACCCCACGTTTATAATGAAACCGGAAAACACCAATAATCGAGTTATTAAAACGCTCTATGGCCACCCAGTTTATAATGAAACGGGTTAACACCATAAGAAGAGAACATAGCAACACAAATAATTGATAAGTTACCTAATTCTGATGAATTAGAGGATAGCAAATTCTTCACAATCACTTCTAATTAAAGAAGAACATGCAAGAGATGAACAATTTCTGCCTTTGGATCAAATTATGGCCAAAAATCCCCGTTTGTACACTTCAAGGAGGGCTATTATATGCCTTAAACCAAACCATAACCCTAAAGAAGAGCATCTAACTAGGCCTGGCCCTAGGGGCCAAAACACGATGGGCTTAACTCTAAAAACACAAAAATTTAAAAAGTCATTTCCAGCCCAAAAAACAAACAAGCTTGATATTGGGCAGATTGCAATGCATCATAAAAACCAACCCAAAACAAAACTATAAATAAACACATGTGAGCCCAAATTATCCCTTACAATTAATTAGACCAAAACAAGCAACAAGGATTAAGAACACATCCAAGCCCACATCCCTTTAACATATTAGCATGGTTAGGGTGGCTCACACCAACAGCACATTGCTCTCCAACATTGTTAGAAGCCTAGGTGTGCCTTTTCAAAGTTTCCACACCAACACTTGTTAATGCCACATCATGAAGCTCTGTGTAATTTGGGCTTGAACATATTAAGGATATGGCAGCCCCATATCTCTTTTTTGCTTGACTTCTATAAGGATATGGCTGCCCCATATCTCTTTGCTTGACTTCTTGTAATTGGCCCACTTGGAAACACTAATGGATCTCCCATGTTGTTCTCCTTGCTCCATTGAGCTCCATGCTTGAGTGATGGTTGAACCGTATCAAGTAGTGAAGTCATCTGTTAGATACATTGGTCGAAAATAGAACGGTTTTCCTCGAACATTAGTCGTTGAATGCATGTGAGATCAACCATATGACAATGTAGGTTGCATAATAGGCTGGTGACCTCGAGAGCAGTCCATTATATGATCTAAACCCCTGTTTTCACCTCTAGCCAATGTGATCGACTCGCTCGCACTAGGCAAAGAGTCATCCGCTTGATTCCTCAAGGTAATTCCCCGAGTCACAAGGGCATATGTCGCAAAGACCTTGTCCTTATCCTTCGCAATCGATTTATCAGTTGGTTTAGGTAGTATTTTAATATCTTAACAAAACCTAATTGATCCTACCGACCATGCTAGAAAAATTATTCAGTCTGAAATTAGTTAAGATCCGCTATGCTTGTGTCTATGAGAATGCCTTTGGACGGACATAAATCAATTTTCCATAGGCTTACAATTTGAAAGAGGGAAAAAATAGAGAAAGTGACAAAAAAAAAAAAGAGGGGAAAAGAACTAGATAAAAGGAATAAGAGAGAAGTTAGAGAAATTGGAAGTGAAAAAAGAAAAAGGAAAGATTTGTAAATCTTGAATTTCATGTTATTTACTACAGCGTCACCCCTTGGGACTTTGAGAAATGCACTCTGAGAAAAGCGAATATTAAAAAATATCTATTGTCCTATAACAGTTATGCAATTTGTACAATTTCTATATTTGCAGTTTATATAATATTTATAAGTGTGAGTTTTTAAGCTTAAAGTGACCTTTTTTGACTAAATATTCATTATTTTTTGGGTCCAACTATTTCTTTCTTTAAATGGGTCGGACATAAACAAACATCATATGTTTTTATGCAAAAAATGAGTTATTGATAAGCTTTGGTTTCAGTTCTATATTTGGTGTTTCAGTGATACTCATAGAACCTAAACATGAATTTCTTTGAGATGTGTTATTGATTTACATTTTTCTTTGTAAACAAAAGAAGCAAAATTATTTGGTGAACTTGGTTGTGGGATTGGAAAGGAAATGGAGAGAGAAAGAAGGTACACAGATGGAGTGACGAACATAGTGGGAGAGATGAAAATGGGTGTTATAGATATTATGGAAATCAATATTTCTTTTTTCTCATCTAACCATCTTCTTTTTCTCTGACATATTAAAATTTCTCATTAAGCTAGATATGTAATTTCTCATTTAAGCTATCATGTTTTATGTGTGTTTAAATCATTCGTTTTTTTTTTTTTTTTTTTTTTTTTTTTTTTTTTTTCCATCTTCTTCATTTCTCTTGACATATTTTTACAAATTTCTCGATTAAGCGCTAATGATATCATGGTACCGCGATATTGCTTCTATTTTCATCACGTGCTCTTCGTATTGCCATGTGCTTTTTCGTATCATGTGTTTGCTATTATCCAACTCCTCACCTGTCGCGTGCTGTTGCGTATCTCTCTCTCTTTTTTTTTTTTTTCCTTCGTGTCTTTTTTGTTTTGGAACAATTTTCTCATTTATATTCTTAAAAGTATTTTACAATAATTAATACAAATTTTGCCAGGTTACATGCTTTAAACCAAATTAATTTAATAGATATGAAGTTTAAATCATAAATTTGCGTCTTTAATTCAACTGCCATCATTAGAAATCAATTCCTTTCATTCTGCTGGAAATGATTTTTTTTTTTTTTTTTTTTTTTTTTTTTTTTTTTTTTGACAATTTTCTCATTTATATTCCTAAAAGTATTTTAACAATAATTAATACAAATTTTGCAGTTAATGCTAAACAAATTAATTAATGAGATATTGAAGTTAAATCATAAATTTGTCTTTATTCAACTGCATAGAATCAATTCCTTTCATTCTGCTGGAATTGATTATTTTTTAAAAACACATAACATGCTTAAATCTTTTTGAACCACTTCCTCCCAGATCATTTTGCTCCTATCCGTTTCTCAGCCTATCATTTGGTTAAATCATTATTTTTCTTTAGCTGGTCAAATTGCAAATTTTCATGTTATCTAAAAGATAAGATCTATATTCGCTGCAAATTACACAATAAAGAAGATAAGCCAAGAGTATTTCTCAAGTACATGCTCAAGTTATGCATGCCTTCAACCATAATCAGGAATGGTAATTGAAACTACCATTAGCAAAGTTAATAGATGGGATTCCCAAAATATGGGATGGAACAAGTAATCGGACTCTGACAGTCTTGTAAAAACTTCAATTTGAAGCAGCTTTACAATATGTTTTCAGTCACAGAAAGTTACTATTGTGATTGAAAAGTTGTAAACACTGAAACAAAAGAAAGTTTCGTCACCCCATCAACTCAATGGAGTTCCTCCGAATCACCAACTTCCATATGCGATCTGAAATGTTGTGATTAGTTAATGCAAAGTTGGGCGAGTAACTCGTGGCCGCACAGGTGTCTTTGATGGACTTACCCTAAAAATATTAGAATCATTCAAGATAATGATTGCATTGCTTAGTTGAAATTTTTGGGGACAAAATTCAAACTATATTAGAAGTTTAAATGTCACACCTGATGGGTTGAGTTCCCAAGACCATACCACTGCAATTCAGGGCAATAATGGCACTTTCTGCCTGTTCATAAAACCAAAATCAATCTGCATTATTAGCCATTTGAATGATTTTTTTTTTTTTTTTTTGTGCAAAAATACCATGGTATAATGTATAGATAAACATAAATATCAATATTTCTGCAAATTACCATAACCATTTCCGCTATTTTCTTTTCTTAAAAGCCAAAATTACATCAGTCCAAAAACCCAACTAGGCTTGCCCAGTTTCCAGCAACACCTAGGGAGTAGGAGAGATCAATCCCTTGAACCTTGTTTAATTTCTACAGTTCATAAGACCAATGCCCAATTAGCATGGGTGAACAAACACGAGCAAACAAAATTCTAGGCCACCTCTCTTGATTTCACCCCCTGATCACATTAATGACCCTTGTCTAACAAAATAAATCAATTGTTTAACTATTCAAAATAACTTCTTAATAATGAAAAAATAATTTATTATGATTGAATATAGTATTTCTCAAACAAAGAACTGACTTGCTGTTCTCACATGGAAAAACATCCATATCAATGACCAGTTCCACAAACTTTCACGGTTCTTTCATTTTATATGCATGGAAAAGCTTAGGTCAAACAAAAAGAGGAAAAAAATGTCTGAATACTAGTCCTACACATCCCACGACCATCAAATCCCAAAGCATCTCTCCATCAATTAAATATGAAAACTGTGATAAAGTAAATTGGGAAAAAGATAATTGAAAGCTGCACAGAGTTTAAACACAGTCAAGATTAAGTAGTCCGCCTGAAATATCACTTCAAACACAAGCCATTTTTGAGTTAGATAGAACCACAAAAGTAACAGCATGATATGTCAACAAGCACCTCTCTACAACTAATTTATGTCAACGTGGGCTATTTGTTGTCATCAAAAGTGGTATGCTTGGACAGAGTTTTGAAATATTCAGGAGCTATTAAGGCTACAGGAAATTGTCACTTTTCTCCTCTTACACCAAAACACAAGCATGTTCATAGATCTTTAAGAAATAGATAATGGCATCACCAATACACAATCATAACTCCCTAGGAATTTCAGTAGCACTCATATACATGTAGATCATTTTTAATTGCAAAACTAGAGTAATAAAATCTCTCGTTCGTATGTTAAAAATTTTGGTCAAACCCTGTAAAAATTTTACCAGTAGTGACGACATCAAAATACATACTAAAATTGAGAGAAATTGAAATTATATAACTGCTGAAATTTAAAGATAAGTCCATTGACCAGGGATGAAATTAATTACACAGATGAAATTTATTAGTAAAAGTTAGTTTGAAAATTATTTTGCTGCACGTGGAATGAATTGAAACTTTGTTGAAATATACATTAGGGCATTTTGTAACCATAAGGATTTCAATAAATTTACGATAATAAGACTGAAAAAGTTTGGATCTACAACCATATGGACAAACACAATTTACCCTTCAATTTTTTAATTTCCTATACCATTCAACAGTAAAAGAATACATATACATTTAAATAAAAATCCTTGTAGATCCAAGCATTTAAGTTGTTTATTAATGTGTATTGTACATATAACCGGAAAGTTTGAACAACAAGACAACAGCTAAGCCTTAGTCGCAAACTATTTGTATTCAGCTATATGAATAATTTATTTCCAATTTCCGCTCTGATCAAATTAATAGCAACGCAAGACAGAATAAATTGGAAAAAATGATTTCAAAATAATTTTTGTGGAAAAAGAACTTTTAAAAGGGGAATTTTTAAATCATTTAACATATTAATAAATAGAACAAAGCATAAGAAAGACAATAATAACCTAAAAGTTTTGAGTTAAATTAAAATATTCTTAAAATGAGAAGTCAATTTTTTCATAAAATACGCTAGTTACTGGATTTAATAAATTCTTAAACTACTTCATAAATTTCAAATTTGCTTATAGTATTCAGTACCTAAATAGCTCAAAAATTTTCAGCGCTTAATTTTAAATTTTACCAAAACCACCTCATTTTAATTTCATCTGATTTCTAACGCTTTATTTGACCACATTCACTAGACCTATACTTCATTTTCAGCATATAATTTCAATTTGTCAAAAGAACATTAAGTTCAATTTGGATTTTGTTAAGGTCACTATTGCCAAATTTGTGTAGAAATTCAAACAAGAACTTATAATACCAACAAGAGAATTTTATTAATTAAGTTTTGCAATTATTGATAGATATATCTTAACTCCTTTGCCATTATAAATTCCACAACAGAATATCTATCAAAATACAATAATATAGGTTTTATTAAAGCTCATGAAACCAAATGACCTTCATGTAAGAAATTAACTTATATTAGAAATTCAGTGACAAGCCTAATGATTGGATGAAATTAAGCATTACTAAATCAACAAACAAAACAAACAAAATGTCATTTGTTTTAAGAAAATTAATTCCTCAAAAGATATTCTATATAAAAGTTATTTTCAACAGAATAAAGCCAAAATTATATTTAGTTATAAACCATTAGCATAGTAATTAAAAGGCTGAAGGTATAGGAAATAAAGGGGTATTGGACTCTACACATAAAGCAAAAGACACAGGAGAATGCCAAAGAGAGGTCATGCACAGAAAAAAGATTAAAATTGAGACAAATAATAATTCAATACAACAGATAAGAACACTATTCAACCAAACTAACAAAATCTAACAATATTAGTAGGAAACTAGATTTAGGTCAGCATTTGCAATTTGCAAATTATTATTATGAAAACAAATTGCAAGACCATACAACAAACTACTGCTTGAAGACTGAGGTAGGGGTGCAAAGCAAAAGGCACAAAAACACGCATGAGAAACATTAGTTGCTGTTAAGGAAAGTCAATATTCCTATTTGTATATAGTATAATCCTAGAGTTTTCTTCCTGAGTAGTTTAGGATATATACTCCTAAATAGTTTAGGAATAACTAGTATATATATACTTGGTCTTTTCTCACTGATGAAATACAATATAACAATCTTTTTTTCTCAATTAGTAACATGGTATCACTATCAGAGCCTGTCATACACCTTTGTTCCTAAATTTTTTTTCCCCAGTCAAAGCTTCCGTAGTGAGAAGCTACTGCCACCCTAGGACATTCATCTAGTGTAATCTGTTTGTCTCACCGCCCACCCCAGTACATCCTCCAGCTGCTGATTGGTGAGTTCCCAAAATCCAATCGCCGGAATTCCAGCAAATGGCCTCCATGCGCCGCTTCTCTCTTTCTGCTCCGGTTCACACTCCCGGCGCGTCCAGCAGTATTTTCCTCACTGGTTCTCTTCTCCAACATTGCCTCCCCTTACGCAGCACTATTATCTGGTGCATTTCAGGTTCCTTTTTTAACTATTTTACACTTACGCTTTATAATGCTGAGCTTGTGTGACAGTGGCGTGTTTGGCTTGTTTCTTTTGTACAACCCAATTAGTTGCACATGTTTCATGGGTAATTTTCATAGTTTGAGTTGTTGTCAGTTGCTGCGATTCTATTCCTTTTTGAGTATCTTTTTTTTCCTCGGTGATTATTTCTTGTTTATATCAATTTTTGGTCCAAAGGTATTTTCAATTTGAAAGTACTTTCCTCTAAATATTATGGGGACTCCGGGGAATACCGAATCGAAGGCTGTTATCACGGATGTTGTTCCGGTAATGACTAAGATAACAAAAAACAAACTTAATGTCTCCAATTATTTTGATTGGAGTTTGATTTATTTGTGAAGTATTGCTAAGGACAATCACCTTCCAACTGATGATTCGAGACAAAACTGGTTAAGGGAAGACACTCGGTTATTCTTGCAAATACAGAATTCTATTCACAATGAAGTAATCAGTCTAATCAATCATTGTGAATTTGTTAAAGAACTCATAGACTATCTTGGCTTCTTATATTCTAGAAATGGCAATATTTCAAGAATTTATGATGTTTGCAAAGCATTCTATCGCTCAGAAAAGCAAGATAGACCTCTTATTACCTATTTTATGGATTTCAAATGGATATATGAAGAATTTAATGTCTTGTTTCCCTTTAGTACTGATATCAAAGTGCAACAAGCTCAACCCGAACAAATAGCTATTATGAGTTTTCTTGCTGGTTTACCTTCAGAGTTTTGACACTGCTAAATCACAAGTTCTTTCTAGTACTTATATTTCTTCTTTGCAAGAAGCATTCACTAGTGTACTGCATACGACAACCTCTCATTCTTCACATCCTGTTGCTAATAGTGCTCTTGCAAGTCATGGAAGGCAAGGAAAGAGGGGAAGCAACTATAATTTTGCAAATAAAGGAGGACCTATTGCTCATAATGTTATAGCTACTAATCGAGATCCAAATGAAATTGTTTGCTATTATTATCATGAACCCGATCATACAGAGTGCAATTATTGGAAACTCCAAATAAACCTCCGCCACATCCAAAGGCAGATGCAGGTACTCTGGACCCTACCATAGCTTCACCATCTAGGCAATTGGTTACAATTTCTACAGAAGGATTTGCAAAGTTTTCTGAGTATTAGCCATCCTTAAAGTCTGCCAATTCCTCCATTGCTGCCATTGTTGATTCAGGTAAACCTACTCATGTCTCATAGCTTCCTCATTGAAATGGGTCATTGATTTTGCTTGTACAGATCATGACAGGTAATCCTAGCCTTTTGTCTTCTTTAGAGATTAATTCCACATCTTCCCTCGTGACTTTAGCTGATGGTTCTCATTCTTCTGTTACGGGTACTGGATTTGCAAATCGAACTCCATTTCTTCCCTTACCCTTTGTTTAGCGTCTACCTAAATTTTCTTTTAATTTACTCTCTGTCAGCAAAATTACTCGAGTATTAAATTGTTGCATAAAAATTTATCCTAACCATTGTGTATTTCAGGATCTTATGACGAAGCAAATTATTGGTAGAGGATGTGAATCTAATGGTCTCTATCTACTTGATGAACAAGTATCGTTGTCTCTTGCTTGTGCTGGTGCTCCTTTTGAGATGCATTGTCGATCAAGCCATTCTTCCTTATCCATTTTGAAAAA